TTAATATATTTAATATAAATTCACTTAATTATATATATATATATATATATATATATATATTATTTTATTCCATTCTAATTTCAATACCCGAGATTTTTAACCAAGATCTCGACGTGAGTATGTATGAGCCCATATATATGGTAACATCGTACATAATGAATGCACTAGAAGTAAAACGAGTTGGGCAATACTCGGTATGCTTTCCAATTTTTACGTCCTCTTGCATTACAAAGTAACATTACATGCATTGGCATAACAAATATTGCTTAAATTATTGTGTGTGTATATATATATATATAGCTAATATTTCATGTTCGGTATGAAAATTCTCATGAAAATGCAGAGGATGTGAAATTATTCCACGAGTTATATGACAAGTGTAATTAATGTATCCAAACATAATATTATATCTCATAATATATACACACACACACATTGAATTACGTCTTTTGTGCTGCAAACATTGAGTTGTGAAAACTATTTACAGCAAACTACAACATGAATGAATGGACAGTTCAGCATTCAAATAATTAGTTAACTACGTGTGTATATATATATATGGGAGGGGGGGGGGATTCGTTGCCAAACCAATTGCTGCATAGGGAAATTCACCCATTACCAAAAATAGAAAAGGCTACACTCTTTAAAAAAAAAATGAAAAGTAAATTTAATAATAATAATAAGGCGACAAAGATTATCTGTAGAGAGCAACTAAAAAGGCAAGTGGGCCATGAAAAGGAACATATTCGAACAAAAAAAAACGGAACATGCAATTGCAAGGTATGAATTTGGCCACACCAATGAGAAAAAGGCCACGCGAGATAAGGGACGAAGAGCTGACTTTACAAATACCCATTATTCCCTTTTCCTATTTTTCAAAGGCTATAAGAAGAGGAGCAAATCACGAGAAAGAGCAGTGAATGAAAGAAGAAGAAGAAGAAGAAGGAGAGAGGCCTATAACATGAAGAAGAGAGTCATGTTTAGTAGCCAAGGATGACTTGCCTGCTCCTTTTTCCTCTTGTTTCTTCGTGGGTTAACCCATTTTGATATTTGAGATTAGGTTTCAGGCAGTCTCCTTGGCTATCTTGACATGTTTCCTTCTCTCATGCTATGCCTTCTCTTCTCCCCCGAGCCGAAATCCACCATATTTACTTTGACATGTCATGGTAGTACCGTTTTTACCTTTCAAATTCACCATATATATATATGCATTATGTTAGTTAGTTTACCCATGTCATTTAGAGGAGAAACTCAAATATACGTGAAAATGGTTAACTTATTATATGTGAAACATCCCGCAATTGTTTACTCTAACTTACGTTCATTAGGTGCATTTTTGTCGAGTCGGAAATGTTTTGGATCTTTGATCGTATGTTAGAATCCATTAAATCATGAATTATAGAGAGTTAAGTCATTTCACATGAAGTAGAGTTTATATTACCACATCATTTCATGCCTAATTTCCATAAGATTCTACGAATGTATATTAACAATAGTGTCCGTTTCACACAAAATATAATATATATATATATATATACACACGATATTTTGCATCGAGGGACCATTGTGTACAGATTCAGTATCAAGGGAGTACAGAGGAAGAGAGGTGTAAGATGAAGAAAAGGGGCATATTTGGTAGCCAAGGATGACTTGCCTGCTTCTTCTATATATAAGGCTATAAAAAAGCGTGGGTCAATTATTTTATATATATTTTATGAAAACATTATATTAATTTATATTTTATATGCTGAGTACGTAATTATATAAAGACCCATGCATTAATATTTTGCCGATAAAAAGAATATAGCAGGCAGTCTCCTTGGCTATCCTTATATGCTCTTCTCTCTCATCCCACACCTTCTCTTCATTCATGGCCATGGGGGAAGACAGGAATGGCATCTTTGATACATGCATACATACGTATGTGTAAGTGTAAGCTTGTATGTGTATATACGCACACGTGTGTTCATATTTGTCTACATACAATCGATGAAAATGTATCACTTCAAAGGAATGTTATCGTGTTCGAACACATGTATATATATATATATATATATATATATTGTAAGTTGTTCAAATGCATGCATGGTTTGTATAAAACTTAATCGTGAAGAGAAAAGGGTTATCACTATAGAGAGATATATTCGTATTTTCATACATTGTAATTAGGGTTTACTATTCGTACAAATAACCACTAATGTAACAGAATTGAATTGATAAAATTCAATACCTTTTATGGTATCTATATGGCTAAACCTCATAAAGATCTATTCTAGATCGATTAAAAAATTCTGATCGTCGACGACCCGTGCATTGAATATTGAATTTTCTTAATTTAACTCTGTTACATTAATGGATTATTTATACAAGTAATAAACCTTAAACACAATTTATGAAAATACAAATATATATATATAACCCACTATAATCACTTGCCCTATACATAACAAAGCCGAATTCGACAAAGTGGTATGATAATAACATTATGATAATTCATGGGCGTGAATACGTATATAGACGTATTTGCAGTTGGTGATGATGTGTGTGAAAATAGGCTTGGAGCGAGAGAGAGAGAGAGAGAGAGAGAGAGAGAGAGAGAGAGAGAGAGACGTACACACCCTAAAGAAATATGTCATGGAAAGACATGCATGGCCATTTAAGAACGCAACTGTTAATGCATGTTCTCGACTATACCATGGTGTGGTTATTCATGAATATATACATATATATATATATATATATATATATATACATATAAATTTCTACCTTGGGCTCATAAACAGATTGGAAAATACTCAGAAGAAGGCTCTGGTTAGCTCGGCCCAAAATAAAATGAGCCCATATGATTGTTGCCACGTGGCAATATATAACTGGATACAGTCTGGCACTCGAACGACCCCCCTAAATTGAAACTGTTTTTCCCGAGACGCATTCTATCAAATCCCCGATTCCCGACTTTGATTCGGCATTTTATTTTTAGGGAGAAGAAGAAGCGAAGAAGATGAGTTACGAGAAGGTCCCGCCGGAATCCTATCCTCCTCCAGGTTCGTAATTTTTCTCTCTCCGTTTCTGATTCTGTTTGATCCGAATAGCCCCAACATGAATTTCAGATTCTCCGATCGGTTCTGATTTTTTTTGTGTAATCGAGTTAGGATACGCGCCTCCGTATCCGCCGCTGGGATATCAGTCGGCGACGCCTCCGGGATATCCGTCTGCGCCACCGCCACCGCACCACGAGGCGTATCCTCCGCCGCATCCGCACGGATATCCGGCGTATCCACCACCGCCGTCTCGTCCTCCTTACGAAGGTTACCAAGGATACTTCGCCGGAGGGTATCCTCCCCCGCCGGGACCGCCTCCTCAGTACCACACTCACCACGATCACCACTATTACCAGGATTCGGAAGCTGGTTGCACATCTTTCCTTCGTGGCTGGTGAGTCTCTCTATCTCGCGCCTGTTACGTGATCTTTTAGGTCTCTGATTGTAGTCACGTTCTTCTATTGCTGTTGACGCGGGTGCAATCGTTAAAATCGTATTTATTAAATGATTTTTTTTCCGAGCTTTGTTGAGCTTTTTGGATTCTGGACCGGTGTTCGAGTGATCTGTGACATCTTAAGGTCTCTGTGTGGACTGGAAGTTTTAGAATGGCAGAGAACTATGACTTGAATTATCTTCTGCCCAGATTCCTTGAATAAATGTTTTGAGGATTTCTGGATTTTGGGTATATTTGCTCGATTTATACAGCGTTAGAATCAATTCCTTGGGTTCATGTATGGAGAAATCGTAATTTGAGTAGAATTTGGACAACTCTTGGGGAAGTCAGAGTTCCTGCATGCGTGTTTGGCTGGTTTCAAATTCACACTTAAGTAGATGCTATTCCCGTTACATCTGTTCCAGCGGTTAGGTTGGGCCTTTGACGCGACTCTAACTCTTAACCAAAACTTGTGTTTTTAAACTGCAAAATATTCATATGAATCTTAAGATAGGTTAATGTGGTCGTAATCTTATGGTCTGTTTAGAGTTACTTAGGCAAAGATGCTGCTACTATTCTGTTTGTATTTGAAATGTGTGATCACTTTTCGATGAACTAGTGGAACAAAAAATTGTTTGTGACTGCACCCATGATTTTTTTAACTGCAAAAGAATATGTCCATCATTTCGAATCGTCATTATTTTTGCTATAGATAGAAGATTACTCGTAATTCTTCCTTGGAGTGAACCATTCACATCCCGTCAAAATGCTAATTTACCTCGACTGAAAACCTGTCTTTCTTGAGCATAACTTGATGAAGTGGGTTTAGAGCAAAATCTTCTTTTTAGCTGGCTTCGCAGAAGGATACAAATGAGGGAATATGCTGCATTTTCTTGTTTATGGGTTATTGGAGTGGCATTTTTTATTTCTCTCTCAAGTCGGTTCCCTGTTTTTACTGAATCTTGGTGTGTTGGTAAAACTTGCAGTCTGGCCGCCCTTTGCTGCTGCTGTGTGTTGGAGGAGTGCTGCTTCTGAGAGAGCCGAAGTGACCATTTACAACCACATTCCGTGTTGTTGAATATGTATTTAATGCTGTGACCGTTTATTGAGAAGCATATGCTACTCAACACATCCAAGATCAAGATTCTCCTTCGTGGGTTTTGCGTGTATCATATAATGTTTATGTGTGAGAGATGTCCTCTTCTCCCTGTGAAGTCTTTCATTACTCTTTCCATAAACTCTCTTTTTTTTGGAACCTTTTTGGTCTAAAAACACACGAGGGCAAAAACTGATAGCTGAAATAACTAAGCTGTGGGATTTAAACTAAGAATCGCCAGCCAACAAAGTCTACAACACAGAGTCGTCACAGGTCTAGTTCAGTCTAACCATGCAGACTACAATTACATTTTGGGGCCAACTCAAAAAGAACTGGATAAAAAAAAACCAAGACCGAAGAAGCTGTCCGGACGAGGACGAGAGGGGGAGTAACGGAACTGTAGAACTACAGGATCCACACAAAAGGCGGCGCATCTTTCCTCGCCCCGACCACCGTACGGTAGAGGTACATCTTCTCCACCTTCTGTCCCTCGCCACGTCCGTTCTGCTCCTCCATCATTTGGTTGCCGCCGTTCTCGTTTATTATCTCAACATTGAGCCTCGACGCCTTCCTCGCCACCCTCTTGCAGCCTCCGAGCGTGACTTTGCATGCCGACATCCAAAGGGATCGCATTGTTTCGTACTTCCCCACATCCGCCAGAAGCGCCGCGTTCCCGAATGGGCTGTCCCTTATCTCCAGCTTCCTTAGCCTTTTGCAGCCGTTCAACACGTACAGCATCCCTTTGTCGGTGTCGCCCGCGAAAGCGATTGAGAGCATCTCGAGCCGCTCGGCGTACATTCCTATGTAGAAGAAGACCTGATCGGTGAGTAGACCAGAGAGGGAAAGCCGCCTTAGACCCTTGCACGCCTTCACGATCGCTCCAAATCCCTTGTCCAGCGGCTGAGATGTCACGGGGTCGGGCTTGGTTGGGTCGAGGATGCATAGCCTGAACCTGATGAAGTTTGGACAGTTCTTGGCTACGGTTATGAGGGCCGAGTTTGTCATTTGCTTGCAGAAGTACAGAATCGAATGAAGCTTAGGGCAACCGGCTGAGATCGCAACTAGACCTTCTTCAGTTACAGCCCCATCGCCTCCGGCGAGAAAATCCGATGGAAAAACCCTCAGTTCCTCTAACTCTTTACATGTAGAAGCTACGACCGCTAGCCCTTTGTCGCCTATACTATCCAGTATCTGCAGGATTCATCCATCAAAAACAATGACATATCAACATGCTCATTGGTTTTCGGGTAAGCTGAGTGTACGTGTGTTTTCATTCCAAGGTGAATAAAGTCGTGCGTGAGATAACATACCCATAACCGGCGAAGTTTCTTGCAATGCTGGATAAGCTTTATGAGGTAGCTGCCATGGATCTCAGCAGCATAACTGAGATTCAACGAGATAAGGTTATGGCATATCGGGTGGAAAGCTGGGAGGCAGAGGGGAGCAGACTCGAGAAAACCCGACAAGCTCCTTAACGACACGCACTTCCTAATGGCTGCCTTGAGATTGGCATAGGATTCGGAAGCTGGGTCATTGACATATGACCCGACTCCTAAGTCCACGAGCTGAGGGGCACTCATCATTATCCTTGCAAGTGCATCCAGCGGGATAGCACGGTTTAGCTTCAGGGTCTTAAGGTCGGGAGACCTTGCAACAAGCCTCTCTAGAGCTGCCAAATTGATATCTCCTTTGAGGCACGCGAAGTTCAACGAGACAAGGGATGTGAAGCTGTCCGGAAAACAGCTCAGCCATTGTCCTCTGTGGTCATCAACTTCATTCTCTTGCAAGTCCAGCTCCCGTAGATGCCTGCAAGAAGAAGAATATCAATTTCAGTAAAATTCCAAGCAGATTCAGATCAGATTCATACGAGTCAAATCCTTCGAAAGAGTCAGTAAGAGGAAAATTCACAAGACACGAGAGAGAATTATGCTGTTCTGGGTAGAGTTTTAGTGGCCCACGGATATGAAGAATCAAAATCTCTGATTTTGACCTTAAATTTCAAAAGGGGAAAGAGAGAGACTGCAAGACTTTCCACTATATCCTAAATTTTTCGCAGAATCTAATAGTCGAATTCGGGTCGATCTTCTAATCAATATCCAAGCAGACGCAGGATTTCGAGGAGAAGAACACATTACCTGCAATTGGCAGCAATGGCGGCTAAGCCATCGGTAGTGAACCCTTCACAGCTGATAAGCACCAAAGACTTGAAATTCGCGAAGGAACGCGAAAGCAGCTCCAGGCTCTCATCCGACACCACCATTCGCTTCAACCTCAGTTCCTCAAGTCCCACGCGACTCCTCGCCAAAGCCTCGATCCATGGATGAACGAAACCTCCCCAGTCGTGAGGAACCAAGTTGAAGTCAGCGAAATGAGGCTTTCCTTTCAGAGTTAAGGATTTCAGGCACGGAAACCTCCGGATCAATCTCTCCGGGTTTATGGCGTAGCAGTTCCCGATGAACACCTTCTGCCGGCTGTATCTCTCGATCTTGTACCACGATTTGCACACCAGAGATATCGCGTTCCTGTCCCTATGGGAGGTTATGAAGTCGAACACGTGCTCTATGACCTCGTCCGGGAAGTAATTCATCTTCCCCTCTTCAAACACAGAACCCCAACTCGAATCCCGGAAAATTCACTGGAAACTCGTGGATTCCGACCAGTGGGAGCTCTATGGGAAAGCGAGATCCAGGGATTAGAGAGTCTATCAGATCTTCAGCTCAAGAAAATTCACTGGGAAATAAAGTGAAGACTCGTGGATTTTGACTTCGGCTCAGCTCAGCGGACCTCCGTGGGAAGAGCTAGAGATCCCAACAACTTCGGTATTTTTTGGGATCGCGAACTCGAAAAACAAAGAGACTCGAGACGCCAACAAATCCTGAGCTCTAGGGGCTGACCATGGTGGACGAGACTTGGATATACCGGGGAAATCACCAAACTAGTCTGGGAAAGTTAGATCTACAGATAACAAATTGAAGAACTCGAATTACTCCGAGAAAAAAAAAACGGATTGTAAACAAAAACGTAGCGAAGATCCTTGCTGAAACAAAAAATCAAAATCGTGATGATTAGAGAGAAGAAGAACAAGAAGAAGGTTGCAAATGATCGGGAGTCATAGATCTGGAATATCTGAAAATTCTACCATAAATGGAAACTGCTTCGTCTCCCCAAACCAAATCAACAAAAAAAAAAATCGAAAATCAAAATCCAATGATGATGAGATGATCAGAGACTGATGAGAGAGATCACGCAAGCGTAGCAGAAGCCCAGAAACTCTCTCTCTCTCTCTCTCTCTCTCTGACGCTGAAAATGAAACAAGTCTTAACCAAACCGGAAGGAGGAGAGAGATGGACATATCTCAGCAGGGCCCCCATCTGGCTGACCGGAATAACTATGGTTGAGTTAGCTATTTAACCGTGGTTAAGTTACTTGGTGGGGGTGGATGATCCAACGGTGGATATTGGTCTTGAGGGAAGACAGAGAAGGAATCTTGACCGTTGAAGGGTATGGCATGCATGTGTCCTAATCACTGGTTACGAGGCCATTCGCCAAAGAGAAAGGGGTTGATGTACTAGTGTCAGGGGAAAGGTTTTTGAAAAAGCCTCCTTTTTCAGCATAATTACGGAGAATGCCACGCTCGATGGTGGCGAGTACAAGTGATTTCCATACTCTCAGGCTTTGTCGATTAACCGTTGATTAGTGATTAATTAACGACTTTATTAAAGTTCTAGACTTTCAGTAAATTACCCAAATCGGTTAATCAATACTCGGATATATTGGCAAAACTTTATTTTGGATGATACATTTGGAAGTTACCCGATTTCAGATTTAAAGAAAAATAATTTAAAATAAATAGATGAGCGGATAAACAATAAATAGATAGCATTATGCCAAAAGTAAATATGACATTAATAATGATTGGTGGATATGGATTGTGGCTATATGCACCCAAAAAAAAAAGTCAACCAAAAAACACGATATTTACATTTGAAATTTAACATTCTTTATAATCACTTTGGAATTTGATTTTTTTTAATATATAATAATTTTTTTTGTAATTTTTCAGAACCTAAACACGTGTAAAGAGAGACTCCACAGATAACAATTAATGGGTGGATAACGCTGTTGTAACTAGTTTAGCAATAGCAAGCAAACCTAATTACTAATTATGCTTATTGTTTAATGAAAATATAAAGAAGAAGACCAAAGCTGGCGAAATTTGTCTGGTTGTGAGGACACCATCCGTGGAGATACGTAGTAGTCATAAAGTGTGATGACGTGTTTTTCCTAATTTATTATTTATTATCATTATTTTTTATATTTTGTTTGACAAAATAATCCCAAAAAAAAAAAACAATGGAAATCCTCGAGTTGCATTTTGAAAGGGTGGTTGGACCGACCAAAATAATTTAAATAAAATACAAAAAAAAATTATAGGAAAAATTTAATATAAAAAACACAAAAAGGAAAAGGTTATAGGCTTCATAATCGAACTCAATTATAGACCCACTTGCACATAATTACAAAGCCATATTATTTTGGTAAATTTGAAGGAAATAAATTGCGAACAAATACATGTGGTTTTAATTACAGAAATTAAAAACGACGACAAATACATGTGATCACACAGTATATATAGCATCGACTGTATCCACTCATATATGTATCATTTTTTTTTGTATCAATTAGTATTTACACTTGAATAAATTAAAATATCTACAATAGGTATTTGATATACTGGTGGTCATTGATAACTATCTCACTATTAGTAATTTCAAATTTTTTATCTGTTATATCATTATCCTGTTCGGTGTTATGTTTTGGCTTTGTGGAATCGATGTATGGAGTCATTCAAATAAAAATAAGTGTATTTATAACCGTGACAAAGTCAAATAGTAATACACTTTTTTTTTTTAAAAAAGTTTTCATTTTGTACAACATAAAACCAGATAAAATCGATTGCTTATAATTTTTTGAAATCGAATATTAAAAATAAATATTTTTTGAGGAGAAAAAATAAATAAAAACTATAAGTATAAAAAGCGAATATATCTGAGTTTTATAAATAAAAAAAATACAAAATCTAAAATAATCTAATAGAAATATTACCAAATCCTAAACGTAGGAGTGATGATTTGCTACGTAAAATGGCACCCATGTGAAGACACCAGGACCCTTCTCTCTCTGTCTCTCTCTTTCTCGGACACAGACATCATATATATATATATATATATACACTTTTTGTTAGTATTATATAATTTCGTTATTCGGCCAATATCACCCATAATGCAGTTTTGAGATGATTAGAAACAATGGTCGAATTATTGCGTTTTAACTGTGGGAAAGAAAAAAAATCACCGAGAGAGGAGAGTAAACCTTGGGTGATGCAAATAATATAAATGAAGCCAAAGCTCATGCCTCATGATGACGCATGTCCCAGTCTCTTTCCTTCATCGTCAGTGGTCCTCTCTTCCCCTCCAAAATGACACTGTGCATATACATACAACACATCTACATATACACATACAATGACAAGACGTATCCATATCCACATCGTATATATATATATGTGTGTGTGTGGAGATAACATAACCCGAGAAAGGGAGGAGATGATGAGGAAACGTAAGATATGTCCCTTTTCATTGTCCCTCTCGGGTGGTCCTTCCCTTTGTCCATTCAGATATTTCACTACAATTACAAATACAAAGAAGCTATAGCTATAGCTATATACACATTGGGGGTCATGCGGATCAAAGCCCCACTTAGATTCATGGACCTCAATCCAACAGCTTCTTCAAGATTTTGCTCTTTCTCTATCTCTCTCTGGACAGGGGCATAGACCAGAAGGGCCCCCAACAAGCATAGACCAGAAGGGCTACTACACTCCCAATTCCATAGAGAACAACATAAAACAAAAGCCTCTCTCATGTCCGAGCGCTTCATGCGAAAACCCATAACCCAAAAACGATTCCGATCAACACAAGAATGAAGGTAACCACCGGGAAGAAGGAAAATGTATCGAACTTTACTCGATCCAATCATGAAAGAGAGGGAGAAAAAACATTTGGAAATTGATAAGAATGTGAAAAGGAAATGTGCCCACCTTGAAGTGATCCCAACCTCATCTAAATTCCATAACCTAACTAGTAAGTTAACCATCCCATCTTATCAACCCTCTTGTCCTCAACTTAAAGAACATGAATGGACTAGTTGCAAAGCTTATGGTGGATTGGAGATCTCAGTTTCTAATGCTATCATTGGCTGAAAATCCTCTTTAACTACATCCACCAAAAGAATCACACAGCTGTGGCTCCTATATTCCTTGTTAGGTTCATCTAAGCACCAAGAAGGAGGCGCAAATCCAAACTAGTAAAGATCATGATCATTCCCATTAGCCAAGTGACACATATGGAGTGCCATTTCTCTCGGTCACACTCACACACCTCAAACTTGCTTGAAATTACCAATTCAAGACTAGTGTGACCAATGAGGAAGACAAATTCGGATCTTTATGAGCAGGGCAAATGGGTTGAATTGCAATACCGTCACAAATAAATTGCCACTAGATACGGGATACCACAAAATCACAGATCAAGGAAACACACACAATATCGATTCTTGTGCACTGACCTTGCTAGATTCAGGCGTCGCTACCATCTTCGTCTTCATCGTCTTCTTCTACTTCGTCGTCGTCGTCATCATCATCGTCATCATGGCTAGCGATTAGTTCAGGGATGTAGAAACCAGGCTGCATCGCCCGTCTCCTCGTCCTTGATGGAAGAATGTTATCCAAATCCACCTCTGCCAACGGATCATCCGACAAATCGCTGTCGCCGTTTCCGTCATCTTCTTCGTCTTCGTCACTGTCATCATCTTCGATCAATTTTCCTTTTTCCCTGTCGTCTCTCATAATGCCTTTACCTTTCCTGTCGGCCTCTGCTTCTCTCCTCGCCTCCTCCTCCTCGTCATCTGCTTCCTCTTTCTCTTCATCAGCTCCAAGATCGCCGCCTATTTCGTCTCTTTCCGACGCAGAACCGGCGGCTTTCTCCGGCGAAATCACTATTTCTGTCTCGATCTCACCTTTCTCCTTCTCAAAATCTAGACTACCACCATTTTCTCCATCTTTGGATACAGAAGCAGGGGAATTCGAGGGTTGAAGCTTATGAGCCTTGTTCGCGACATTATCCTGGTCTTGATAGTAGAGATCCGGTTTCCTCTTCACTGGCAATGGAGACTCCTGTTGATTTTCCACTTCCGCCATTGACGAGCCTTCGTCGTCCTCTCAAACTCCTCTGGCTACAGAGTTGAGATTGTTTCAATTTTTAGGTGGATTCAGGTTAGGGTTTTCAGAAACCAGAGCAGACGGAGACGGATTACTCGACTTTCTTCTCTTCTTCGCAGACAACCCACGAAGTCTCCATTATTTCGAAAATACCACGTTACATTTCTGATTTTTCAATTGAACCCCTCTAAATAAAATCCGCACATGATGACGTGGCAATTCCAACCGTCTCATATACTTTTAAATCTAACCCGACCCGACCGGACCCAACGTAGAAAGCTAGAACACTTGGGCTTAGGTGGTTATGATCCTCTGTGTGCATTTCCCTTGTTCACCAAACCTAAATGCAAACATCATATTTATATAAACCATTATCATCGGAATTGTTTTTTTATAACTCGAAGGTTTATTGTGCATTCGGCTCAACTATTTTCCTAAGTTTGAAACTGATTGTCGGAGATAAATTTTTATTTATCTAAACATTTTTTTTCCAACGTTTAAATTTAAATCCACCATCCAAATTTGGGTATCATCGGAATCGTTGGTAACAGGTAATCAAAGTGGAATAACAATAATTATATTGATGCTTTGATACCAAACTACAGATTTGATTAATTCCTAGTTTATGTGTTATATAGTGATATTGCAGTTAATGGGAACACATAGTGTCACGAGTTTATATATTTACAACCTCTTGTATTCAGTTTGATACGCCTTCCCATTTATTTATTTATTTATTTTTGCTATGGGTATGATAGGTTTTGACTGCCATTAATATACACATGCTTCTGAATCTATTATTATTGCGTATTTTTATTTTACATTGATTATGTAAATCTTGAGTTATGATTCTTGTCCCAAAAGCATATATATATATATATATATTATGAAATATGATCATCAACGTATATTTATGATGTTATCATCAGAGCTTCTTGTAGTAAGATCTGTATTTTACTTTAACCAAAAAAAAAAAAGATCTGTATTTTACATCTATTGTAGAGTCTCTGCATGCAACCCCAAATCAAACCCTAGATTATCGGTTCCCCAACCAATTGTTTTCATATAAATACAGGATTTCATCAGTTAAATACGATTGTATGTGTGTACGCACACACACATATATGTATATACATGTATGGTAAAAAAAAAATTCAAAATCATATGTATCATTAATGTCGGACGAGATGGCATTAAGGGTGGAGGAATCTATTAATTTTACAGTGCGTAGAAAGATAAGAGGAGGAGAATTCTCTTTGATTTTGCGTTTTTTAGAAGATGCCGTGCATGGATGCCACGTGTCCATGCATTCTCCGCTTATTGGAGTACAAGACGTATGGACTGAGTCTCGTCTCATGGAGACAACCCCCACAACTGCTGTTTGTTGTTTTTTTTTCTTCTTCTTGTTTTAAGCACTCGATGGTGATGGTGGTTTCCCACATACGGTATTTCTCTTCTTCCCCCGCCCAGCATATACGTATAAATATTAAAAACCAAGTAAAAAAATACGATCCAATATTGTTATTTCTTTGACTATAATTAATGACACGACACTCTTTTCTGTTTCTACATTTCTCAAACCCCATAAAATTTGTATACACACACACAAAAATTTTAACAGCGATCGATTTTACTCAACAATTACTTAAATTTTTACGCGAACAAAGGCCACAATAACTTATGTATGTTCTTGCATTGATTAAAGCGCGTGCCCAATTATCTGATGAAGGAATATATCTTAAACACCAATTAGTGAATAGACTTTTTAAAGTTTGTTCTTTAATTATTTTCAATAACCTTTTGCATTTATTCCATGATCTGTGCGAATTGATATTGCGATCTCCGTCGACGGCCATAGAGAGCCCCCCTAATATTACGGATTCACTATCCTAGCTTTGTCCGAGATCCACCGTATTTATACGTGTATACACAGATATATACGTATAATGTCACATGTTGATACTAACACGAAAAAAGAAAGAAATAGTTTTGACCTAACTAGAGTTTATGGGAGAGAGAGAGGGAGGGAGGAGAAAGAAGACGCCATTGTTTTCTGGAAAAGAGGGAAGAGCAGAACTTTTGCAACACCTGTTGCCCATTCACCCTCCACTCGTCTCCCTCATCTTGGCCTCCCCCTAACCACCTCTGGTTAAGTATTTTTAACCATGGTCGAGTTTAATACTACACCACACCTGTCCTGTGTCCTCTCTTCTCCAACAACAAGCCCCCTAAAATCATTTTTAGTACTCTACGTCCATGGTCAATTACATTACGACCCATTGTTTTGCGTTGAAAACCCTAATCCAGAACATGAGTGCCAGTCATACAAATGTCGCCACTTCTTCGAAACTTGCTATAAATGGAAAACAGAAGCAGATATAAACTCTTAGAGAGAAGAAGAAAGAGAGAGGAAAAGCAATACCTGTTTAAAACCAAAATCTCTGATTGCCCAACGCCCATTTTAACCCACTGTTTCGATCTGCACAACTCTCTCTCTCTCTCTCTCACTGAAACCCAAAGCCACACACCATTTGTTCTTTTTTCCCCTCTTCTCACAGTGCTTCACTTCTTTTCCTTTTTCTAGGCTGCGTTAACCAATTGAGTGCCCAGAAACAAGAAAAAGAGGGAAACAATGATTATGGACGTCGACGATGCTGCTGCAGCGGCTCACGGGAAAACGTCCAGGACCTGTGGATTGATGGAAGTCGGGTCGGGTCAGGTGACGTCACTCGGGTCGGATTCCGGGTTATCGGCGCGTGTGCGTATTCAGGGAATGAACAAGAAACGTCGAATTTCAGATCCGTGATTTCGAGTATAGTCCCGAGGCACAAGAGAGTCGTAAACAAGAGTTAGAAAAGTTGGTTCAGGATCAGGAAAGCTTGAGAAGCTCTCTTCTGCAATGGTGCTACACTAGTTATGGAGAGGTAGATATCATCTGAGTTCTATCTATGGTTGAAAGCTTGAAACTTTGGATAATGGTGTAATTAATATATTTCCTAATGTTTTTTTTCCCAATTGGAAAAAAGATTTGGGATAACTGGGTAATTTGTTTTTTGGCTGTAGGTTTTCAGCTCATGGATGCATTTTTGTGCAGTGCGGATATTTGCAGAGAGCATACTGAGATACGGATTGCCACCATCTTTCTTGGTAAAATAGAAAAAAAAAAAATATGAGACTCCAAACTTGTGCTATTACTGCTTTCTACTAAGAGTGAATTCCTTTTGGTGACAGTCATGTGTCTTAGCCCCGTCGAGCAAGGGCGAGAAGAAAGTGCGTTCGATTATTGAAGGCTTGTCTGATTCTGCAAACAGGTAACTCAAAATGCTAGCCTCATGGCTGTTTTTTATGGTTTGTGAATGTATAAAAGGGATGATGATTGTTGTAATGGGAATTGTGAACGCAGCAAATACTGGAAACCGGAGGAGGAAGGAGGAGGAATGGGTGGGTTAGGAGGAGGTGATGCGGATGCTCATCCCTATGTATCATTCACCATCAATCTTTCTTAATATTAAAAATGCTTCAAGCCTAAATCAATCATTCATCATATGCTGATGATGTTGATGGGCTTTTGGTCTCTCTCATGTTGTGTTTCCATATATAATTTTTTTTTTTTGCATTTTCCCCAATATATATTCCTCTCTTTCCCTCCCCCTTCCCACGTGCGTATCCCTCCCCCACGTGTGAGTTTCTTTTTCCCAACACACATACTTGTATTATAAATAAATAAACAACTATTCACTTGATTTGTTTGTCTCCTTGTTTTAAAAACAATATTTAAATCTGCAACTTATATTAAAATATTTGTATGATAAATATTACCATTTTTTATGATAACGTTAGGTCGAAACCATTAGAGCATATATGTATATATAGATAAATTACACTTATGATCCTATGCATATACCAAGATATTGGATTGAAATGGGATGGATCTAGCTATAGATAATGCCATAATGGATTCCCTATAAATTACACATGTCCTATATATGTAACCCGGTCGCGAAACTGAGATTCTAACTAGATCTTTGTTTTTCTTTTTTACTTATTATACAAAATTTAATGATTTAATTAATGGTTTTTTTGGGGGGTTGCTTATGGGATGGGATGGGGGCAGAAAATGGACACGACAAGGCTAAGGTTTCTCTTCCAAAAGGAGCTCAAGAACAGTGACGTCAGCTCCCTCCGGAGAATGATACTGCCCAAGGTTACGTTATCATACATAACAATGAATACGTACATCATAGCTGGTTGTGAATATGTAATCTAAGATGATGATGATGATGATGATGTAATGATGGTGATGCAGAAAGCGGCAGAGGCGCACCTTCCGGCTCTAGATTCCAAGGAAGGGATATTCATAAGCATGGAAGACTTGGACGGTCTCCATGTCTGGAGCTTCAAGTACAGGTCCCACATGTTACTTCAATTTCACGACATACATACATATATTTAGTGGCATATAAGATGCATCTGTCGAACAATAAAGTCGGTCCAAATATTAAGATATTGAAGAACAACCTCGACGAGATGTTTATAATTTCGGCTTTACAATAAGAATCGTATAATACGATATATGTAGTAGCAAAGGTGCTGATTGTAGTAGTGGCCTTTGTGTTTGAGAAGGTATTGGCCGAATAACAACAGCAGGATGTACGTACTCGAAAACACAGGTAACAACATTTGGTTCTTAATTTTTTTTTAAATGTTTAATAAAGTTGGTTAGAGAATATATATATATGTTGGATGATTTTTAATTTTATTGCTGGATGACTGTTTTGATTCACAGGTGACTTTGTGAATGTTCATGGGTTACAGCTCGGGGACTTCATAATGGTGTACCAAGATCATCTAAGCCACAATTACGTACGTTTCCATGCCCCATCTCTATATATATTTCATGTACGCATATATAAAATATATATGTATTATATATCTCGGATCGTTGATCTCAGGTGATACAAGCGAGAAAGGCGTCGGAAGAGGAAGAAGAAGAAGAAGAAGACGTATACGTAGGCCTCGCGAGGATCGACGAGAGTAAAGTTGACGACGACATCTGCCTCGTACGAGATTTCAATATGGACGCGACGAAATCGAGCGGCCCTAGCTACTACCCCGTGATGGACGGCTCGTTCGTCTACGACACGACCAAGTTGACGAACGACACTCCTCTTGATTTCTTGGGAGGATCCATGACCTCCACCACCTCCTCGTATTGTACCTTCGGATCCTTTGACAGCTTTGGCTTCTCCCTCGACGACTTCTGCTAAGCCGTTGTTCGTTTTGTAGCATTTACTGTAATCTTATAATGATAATAATAACAATAATAACGCATTTCGTGTCGGTAATAATCTTGGTCCGACATTAGGAGAAACCCTTTTTTTGTGTTCCCTATAGTTTCTCGTATGTTTTTTGTTTTTTTATGATGTTTCATGTTTCCTTTCGTCACCGGGAGTGACAAATATCTCTTTTATATGTATATGAACATATGTTTCTGTATTTCAATCTAACATTATGCTTATCAACTTTTGTGGTTGTCTCTGTGTTCCATTCATATTTTATATACTGTTACTCCTATCAAACGAAATTTGATGAGATGATTAAATTTGAGTTACTTGGATATAATTAAATTTAAGGATTATTAAATTTGTGCTTCAATTTGTAATTTTTTTCATTAAGAATTTAAAAGAAAAGATTTCGTATATAATTCATAACAAATTAAAGAACAATTATGTTGAACCAGCAAAAATAACATCAATAATACCAGAAAACATCGTGATGGAGACCAATGCTGGTAAACGATAAACCGGAATAAGGTTACCGGTCCGCTTTTCTCGTTGAGCAGATCTGAGTAAGAATAAAACCCGAACCGGTTTATCACTTAACGATCGACACGAGACACGACGGCGACAGACTGTAGAGGGTTGAAGACGGACGGACCCCTACTGTGATTCAGTTGAAGCACATCGTTTCGAGAGCGAGCGAGCGAGCGAGAGAGAGAGAGACGGAGAATCCATGGCATCGAGGTACTGGGTGGTCTCTCTTCCAGTGAAGGACTCTGCTTCTTCTTTGTGGAATCGTCTGCAGGATCAGATCTCCAAGCATTCGTTTGATACTCCAGTTTATCGGGTAATTAATCTTCTCGATTTGATCTATTCGATTGAAATTTGTGAAGATTTGGTCCGATTTCGTTATGAATTTTTTTTTGTTTGATCGTTTTCTTTTTTTTTTGTTTGATTTCGATTTCGCAGTTCAATATCCCTAATCTTCGTGTTGGAACCTTGGATTCTCTACTCGCCCTCAGCGATGATCTTCTCAAGGTGATTTTTCCGATCCTCTTCGTATTGGCTGTTATGATGTGACTTTCTATGGGAATTTGTGCGAAGATCTAGAGAAATGTCGAAATGATCTGATGAGATGTGCAGTCGAACAGCTTCGTGGAAGGAGTTTCTCACAAGATCAGGAGGCAGATCGAAGAATTGGAGAGGGTCTCTGGTGTCGAGAGCAACGCCCTTACAGTTGACGGAGTTCCTGTTGATTCTTATCTCACCAGGTACAGGAATTCTCTTACGAATCTCAATGCTGTTACGCTGTGATCATGTTTGGTAAGTGACAATTCATTTTGCTTGTCCTGAAGGTTTGTCTGGGACGAAGCTAAATACCCGACTATGTCTCCTTTGAAGGAGATTGTTGATAGTGTTCAGACTCAGGTTGCGAAAATTGAGGATGATCTCAAGGTATGGAAATTCCGTACCATCTGCTGCATTTTCCCTGATTCGTTCCCCCAGTATGATCATAGGAGAGTCCTGTTTTGACAAGTAGGCTCGTAGTTATATATGGCACACAGACAGAGTTGGTCGTTAATCTTTATGAATGTTGAATGTCAGGAGTTTGGTGGTGTTTGGAAAGAAATGTTGAACTTTTTTATAATGTAGAACCTGTGCGGATGAGAATGATAGTCTCTATATATGTAGCATAGATAGGTGGCCTTTGTGCTACATTACATTCCCTGTATGTGCTTTTAGTTGGCCGGATGTGTAGAGAAGGTGATGGTGTTCTAATGTAAAAACCTGTCAACATGTAACACTTGAATTTGATTGATATCATAAGTCATTTTCCATGATGTTGAAACGGGATCATCTGTCACATAGATCCGCGATAAAAGGATCAAGCAAGTGATTTCCAGGTAATGAATCAGCCATAGAACAAGGAGTTTGTTTCTCTGCAGTTATACTCTTATGGCAGTGGGGCTCTATACTTTATTGTTTCTGGAGAGTATTACTTCTAATTTAATCTCTCAGGACTTTTTCACGAATCTAAATTTGTTACGGCCATCAAATGAGTTCCTTTCTGTGTTGTATGTGTGTCTCTGTCGAAATCATGTTGTCAACAGCTCCCATTGCTCTTATGTCAGGTTCGTGCTGCTGAATATAACAATATCCGCAGTCAACTCAATGCCATTAACCGAAAGCAAAGCGGAAGGTAAAAATTTACTTTTAGAGAGATAACATATTTTTGTTCAATTTATAATTTCAAATTTTGTAGAATTTGCAACTATTTTGCAACAATTAATTGTAAGTAAATTTCCTCTAATATCGGCATTATGCTCGAAACATTCAATACCTGTGACTATGCATGAATTTTTAAAGGAATTTCATCCGGTTATTAGGGACATGATTTTTCATTGCAATGTGATTGGTTTCAATATCTTTGTCTCTGTTTGTCTTTTGCATTCTGAACTTCAATTTGGCTGATCATCATCCTCCCTTTCATTTCAGCTTAGCTGTCCGTGACCTCTCAAGCTTGGTTAAGCCAGAAGATATTATCACGTCGGAACATCTAGTGACTCTCCTTGCTGTTGTTCCGAAGTATTCTCAGAAAGACTGGCTGTCCAGCTATGAGACATTGACTAACTATGTGGTAAATTATTGGTTTAGTTACATTTGATGAACATGCTAAGGGTATACACCTCCAGAGGCATCATAAATAATTTATCAAAACTGTTTCAGGTGCCTAGGTCTTCAAAGAAATTGTTTGAGGATAATGAATATGCACTCTATACCGTTACCCTCTTTGGTCGTGCAGCAGATAATTTTCGGACAAGTGCCCGTGAAAAAGGATTTCAAGTGAGTGTTCTTTTTAATGCAAGTTCCTGTTATTATCTTTCTACTCTCTAGAAGGTGGATTTGAATAGCACTGATGCAATGTATCTATTATCTACCCCATGATATCCTTTGATAGTGATTGAAAATCTGGACCTCTGAATATTTCTCTAGAAGGATGTACTTGATTCACTGAAAATTATGTCTCTTGACTAGAATCCTTAGATCATTGTGCAACTTATGATGTCCTCTTTCTCTTTCAGATCCGTGATTTCGAGTATAGTCCCGAGGCACAAGAGAGTCGTAAACAAGAGTTAGAAAAGTTGGTTCAGGATCAGGAAAGCTTGAGAAGCTCTCTTCTGCAATGGTGCTACACTAGTTATGGAGAGGTAGATATCATCTGAGTTCTATCTATGGTTGAAAGCTTGAAACTTTGGATAATGGTGTAATTAATATATTTCCTAATGTTTTTTTTCCCAATTGGAAAAAAGATTTGGGATAACTGGGTAATTTGTTTTTTGGCTGTAGGTTTTCAGCTCATGGATGCATTTTTGTGCAGTGCGGATATTTGCAGAGAGCATACTGAGATACGGATTGCCACCATCTTTCTTGGTAAAATAGAAAAAAAAAAAATATGAGACTCCAAACTTGTGCTATTACTGCTTTCTACTAAGAGTGAATTCCTTTTGGTGACAGTCATGTGTCTTAGCCCCGTCGAGCAAGGGCGAGAAGAAAGTGCGTTCGATTATTGAAGGCTTGTCTGATTCTGCAAACAGGTAACTCAAAATGCTAGCCTCATGGCTGTTTTTTATGGTTTGTGAATGTATAAAAGGGATGATGATTGTTGTAATGGGAATTGTGAACGCAGCAAATACTGGAAACCGGAGGAGGAAGGAGGAGGAATGGGTGGGTTAGGAGGAGGTGATGCGGATGCTCATCCCTATGTATCATTCACCATCAATCTTTCTTAATATTAAAAATGCTTCAAGCCTAAATCAATCATTCATCATATGCTGATGATGTTGATGGGCTTTTGGTCTCTCTCATGTTGTGTTTCCATATATAATTTTTTTTTTTTGCATTTTCCCCAATATATATAGTAGTAATAATCATAATAATAACAGTAATAATGAACAAAAAGGTGGGCGGTTGAGAGAAGCCAGAGTTGGGTGAGTTTCGACACTGATTTTGTGGTTTGGTGGCTATTCTCACTCGGTTGATCTTTTGAGAGCCCTTAACCCATTTGTTATTTCATGTATTTTTTTTTCCTTGGATCTCTCTCTCTCATATATATATATATAATGTCCGACTGTGTTTGGATAGCGTTTGTTTTTTTTTTTTTGTACTTTTACTTTGATATTGAAAATATTTGGCGACATGTCCTAACTCCCGAGATTTATTCTTTATTCTTTGATTTTTGAATGCTAATAGGTTTTGACCGTTAATCTTGAGAGCAAACGTTTCTAATCCAATTCAAAATGCTACAAGGACGCGCGGATGGGGCGCGTCAAATGCACGAACCACCTGCCTCTCTCTATATAGTACATTTCACCAGTAATCTCCACAGGAACAAAACCCATCTTTGAAATGATGAAACCTCTTGGAGTCTCTCACCACAAACTGCCTATCAACGATCCGAGAGATCAACTTTACCACATTATGACAGTCGCTGCATACTCTGAGGTTCTTTATCACATGAATCATCTCACCAGGGACCGTGTTCATGATCCCAAACGCGACCGCCAGTTTCTCGCTATGAACCCTAAGAGCCATTTCCTTCTCTTCCTCATCGACATCGTGACAGACCGATGCCGTGTTAGACACGTAACCAGCCTCTTGAAGCTTCCTGTCCATTTCCTTCAAGAACTTGTAGATTCCCTCACTCTGAGGATGTTCTTGATCTCCAACCAAGAACACATGAATCTCACCTTTCAACTCAATCAGACTGAACCCCGGTGGCTTAACAAGTCCTCGATCCTTCATAAGTATCCTAACTCTCTCGACGTCCTTCCACCGTCCCGCGTCTGCATATATGTGTGACAGTAACATGTAATACCCGCAATTCTTAGGGTCTAACTCGAACAGATGATTTGCAGATATCTCAGCGAGTTCCACGTTCTTGTGAGTCCTGCAAGCGCCTAGAAGTGAACTCCAGATGACAGAGTCTGGCCTCATCTTCATCGTTTCTATCAGCTCCCATGCTTTCTGAAGATGCCCGGCGCGTCCGAGAAGATCAACCATGCAGCCGTAGTGTTCAAGACCGGGTTCCACACCGAATTTGTCCTTCATGGTGTTAAACCAGAGCGATCCTTCGTCAAGAAGACCGGCATGACTGCAAGCGGCTAAGACCGATACAAATGTGATGTAATTTGGTTTTACCCCAGCGTTGATCATACGATAGAAGACATCTAGTGCTTCTGAAGCTCGGCCATGCATTCCATAGCCAGCAATCAAAGCAGTCCATGACCTCACGTTCTTAACTTTCATAAGATCGAATGCTTTTCTAGCGGTCTCAACCCTTCCGCATTTGCAATACATGTCAATGATGGCGGTACCAACAATCACATCATCTTCCAAACCCGTCTTTATCACCTGCAGAGATCAAATCTCGCAAGTTAGGCACAATCAACCGATGTCACGACCTGTCACACCGATACCAAAGAAGTAGACTTTCCAATGTACCAAGAAGCAGGGTCAATGCTTAAGCAGCAAATTCATTCACCTGATCATGTATGCTCTTCCCATGGCGGAGAGTACCCGAATGTGAAACGGCCAACAACACAGTGGAGAGTGTGATGGAGTTGAAGCTTGCATCACTATCCATCACCATTTTGCGGAAAGCTTCAAAAGCCTCACTAGACAGACCATTCTGAGCAAACACTTTGATGATCGAATTATACGAAATATTGTCCTTTTCGGCCATTTCATCAAACACCTTCTTGGCCACAACCACACCTCCTTCCCCGCCCTTTGCATACACATCCAAGAGAGTATTACCAACAGACGCATCCTCATCAAAGCCTCTCTTTATAACAAAACCATGAACTGATTCTGTCAAACCCTTGGCAATAACGCGGGAACAGGCCGAGATGGTTGAAACCATAGCCACAGAATCAACGGATAAAGCATCATCTGCACAACCCTCCTTTTCATCGGTCAGGAATTCCTTGAAAAGAGAAATGGCGCCGAGGGCATTTCCGTTTTGGACATACCCTGTGATCATGGAGGTCCAAGAGACGATGTTTCTCAGGGGAATTTCGTCGAACAGTATCCGAGCATCCCTAATTTCACCGCACTTGAAGTACATATCGATCAGCGCCGACGAGACAAAAACATCGGATTGGTAACCGAAGACGATTGCTTGCTGATGGGTTTGCTTGCCGGAGAAAAGATCGAGGAGAGAAGAACATGCTTTGATGGTGCAAGGGAAAGTGGAACGATTGGGAGAGAGAGAAAGCTTTCGCATGGAATCAAAAGCGCGAAGAGCTTCAACGGAATCGCCGCTACGAGCGAGGTCTGCGATGACGGAGTTCCAGGAGAAGACATTGGTCTTGTCGACATATTTGTTGAACAATGTCGTAAGGTTTTGTCTGTCCGAATAACTGTCCGTGTGGAAATGACGAGACAGAGAGGATACAAGGGCTTTACCACTTGGAGTCTTCATCCATTCTCTCATCTCATTACACTTATCAATACCCTCTTGTATGTATATATATATGTGTGAGGACATTTCTGCAATACTAAAGCCCTAATTTAAAAAAAAAAACATTTTTTTATATATATTATGATCCACAAGATTACAACATGTGAAAAAGAAACCAAATTTATCTGAAAGCTTAGGGTAAAGAGAGAAGAGAAGTCATCAAGGCATAGAAGAAGCTACAGAGGCCGCCAAATGTGAGAAGAAACAAGAAGGAAGAAGAATCCGGCCTCAGCCCGGGGGAGTTGCCTGTAAACTGGCCGGAGCTCGGGGCGGGAGCTTCTGCATGAGAATGAGGAGGATGGGCCGAGCTGAATGGCCATTCTCTGCTCGGAGAGGGGAAGAAATCAGACATATTGGGTGCATTCACATATGGTAGAACTGCAGGAGAAGCCGAAATGGTAGATTCTCCAAGGACAACCCAAGTCCAGTGAGCGGTCATGATGATCAACAGAGACATGGCAACTGAAAAGCTTGACAGAGACAGAGCCATGGTTTTCTGGTTCAAGGGAAATGCTTTCATAGATTATAATACATATACATATATAAGAAGCAGAAGGCGCTGTTCTCTGGATCCGTGAAGAAGAGGACATATTCCATCTTCCATGTGTGAATCTCTATGGAAGAGAAAAGTGAATGTGTTCACGGGCAAAGAATGGGGTCCTTCACGTGCCCCTTTTGTTTTCTTGCTCCATCCATGTGATCTCATTCAGATTCAGCCACCTATGAATCAAGTGAGAGTGAATATAAATACATTTAACAAAGGGAAAACAAAAGACGGTCACGGCATCTACTCACAGATATCAGAGAAGGTAGGTGTCGAGATGAATTATACGGTAACAATCCCGGATGCAATACTTCTTTTCTCTTTTCCTGCAGGAATCTGTCATCTACTTCACATCTATAATCAGGCTTTTGCAAATTCAAAGGATCAAACCAAAACCAGAAACGACCAAAGATCAAAACTAAATGTATCCTTTCCTTTTCCTTTTCCTTTTCCCCGGCTTTTGGGGCGGTAACTGGTAAATATGGAAATAGGCATATAAGAGAGGCCAACAAAAGCATTACCGGCTTCTTGCTCTCGAGCGTTAGATAGTAAAGAATCTCACTCTATAACAATCTAAGATGAGCAGTATCGTTCAGCCGTTTTATCTGCCAACCGGTTTTCCACGAATGCTGGAGCACGGTCACAGAGGAATCCTCTATGCAGATCTTATGAGACATTATCGGGCTGCAACCGATGACGCCGGTCAGAAGACATTTGATTGGCAACGAGTGGGTGAAAACCCCGACGCAGGTTGAGAACGGGGAAGGGGAACTCCTGCTGATGTTTATATCACCAATGTCATTGTGATGATTAACTTCCCTCGGGGACATCTCATCATCAACCTCGTGATTACCGGTCATAGTCATCACCTGGAGTCGGCTCTTACCGGATTTCTTCCTTGTAAGGCTTGGACGATGCCTGTGAAGCAAATCCCACGTGGGCGGTGGAAAAGACCCGTCTCGCTCGTTAACGGATGCGGAAGGGAGCTCTGACCTGAGCTTCTCTGCAAGTCCTACCACTGTCCCGTTCAAGAACTGAACCATTCGGAATTCCACCTGCCTGAGTGATTCCCCGGACGGCGGTGAGAAATCGGGCTGACATCTTTCGATTAAGCTCAGAGTTTCGGGCGTATAGATTTCGGACCGATGGCCTCCTTCCCATTCCCCCATACTCATCTCAGCAAGCGCATCCGAGGACTGTATATGCTCCTCTGGAAAAATCATTTCCTGCACGAATCATCAATGCAGGGTTTGACCCAGAAACCATTTCATAAAATTGTCCAGCCTCACTGATTTGCAAAAGGATTCTTCTAACTAGTTTGATTTCATCGGAGACCAAGCTCACATCTTTAGATCTTCTAAGAACCTAGGGTTTCTCCATTTCGGCTACTTGTTATCCTATGCGACGAGAGATTCAAATACCTGGCAAACGGAAACCGCCATGGATCTAGCTCGGTCGAGAGGCGAAGAGTACACGGAGTTGAATCGAACCCCTTGAGAATTGAAGAACACGGCGAGGGCCCTGGCCTGGCGTTTGCCGTCGGCGGTGAGGGCGGACACATGGCACCTCCCTCCGATCAGATCAGGCCTGAGATTGAGATCGCACTCGCCGTGGCTGATGAGGTAAACCTCCGTCACGGCGGCGGCGCGATGATCGTCGGCGGCGGAGATGCGGGAGAAGATAGGCGGCGGGAGAAGCGGCGGAGGCGGAGGCGGAGGCGGAGCGAGGACGTTGTAAGGGTCCCAGACCTTGATGGAGGGACCGAGCCTGGGGGTTCCGAGAGAGGAGAGCTGAGGGGAGAGAGGAGAAGCGGAGGCGTGGCAGGGAAGCATCTCGGGCTCCTGCTCGAGAACCTTCTTCACGAGGTGGTTATCAATTTCTCTTCTGTTGGATCCGCCATGGCCGTCTTCTTCTCCTCCGTCTTCGCTTTCCTCCTCTTCTTCTTCTTCATCGTCTTCTCCTTCGTTGATGGCATGAGCAGACTGTGAAGACCCCATGTGTTTGTCAAAGAGTTCGTTCGAGATGGGGACAAACAAGGAAGGAATGTAAGAGTAGCCTGTAGTACGATAATGCTCAGATGCAGATCTTATTCCAAAGACCGTACCTTCCAATCGAACTAGAGGATTCCGATTCCGTCTCTGAAGCCAATCTTCGCCTTTTACTAATGTTTTTAAAATTACCATCTTGTCCCAAATCTTTTTTCTCTGTGCAATTAATTACAGTAAAAAGTGAATTATCGGCTAGTTTTGAATCAGATCATCTATGGACTTGTCTAAATAAATGCCAGATCTCATCGCCCGTACCTTCCGACGGATCCAGCGGGTTCTGATTTCTTAATCTTGTCTCTAAAGTCAATCTTGGCCTTTTGCTAATGTTACCAAAGTTACCATTTGTCCCGAATCTTTTTTTTCCTTAGTAAAAAAATATAGTAAAAAAACGAATTATCGCCTTGTTTTGAATCAGATCATCTAGCATCCAAGGACCGTCTAATTATATACATAGATACATACATACACACACACACACACAGGGGCGGACCTAGGATTATATCTAATAGGGGGCAAATTATAATTTTAACGTTTTAATATGGGGGCATTTCAATTTTTCTTTACAAATTTATAAAATTTACAAAGGAAATTAAAATTTTTTAATTCAAATAGTGGGGGCAAAGGCCCCCATTGCCATCAACGTGGATCCGCCACTGCACACACACACACATATATATATATATATATATATATATATATATATATATATATATGATACATTCATTTTTTTT